AGAAAAATTGAGAAAGTAACCAAATACTTTTAAAATGGGAATAGGGCGATAGTTCAGAGGTTTAGTCTCATAATATATTGCTTATTCATGTATGCTAGCATTTTTGAAATGTTATCCTTCATCGCAATTAGTTATAAATTTACATACTCTGCATTGCTCCGAGTGTAAGCTTTATAACATCATCTGTTATTGTTAAGTCTGTGTATCTCAGGGAAGTATCTAATCACTGTTAAAATGTAAGTCTCGTGTGATGCTATAATCTTCTGATGTAGTGCTGGGTATCTATTTCAGTAAAAGCTCCAGAGAAGATAGAACTAAATACATTAAATAATGACAACCACAGCTCTCTTTATGTTACTACTGCTGCCAACACTACTATTACAATGACATGCAGGACAGGGAGGAAGTGACAGACATGTTGCATAGGGCACAGTAAAAGCACATCACAGTAATCATCTCACATGATTTAATGTTTAAGACATTATTAGCACCTACATCTTTCAAATGAGGAAAACAAAGTTTTGTGTGGCCATGTGACTTGCCCAATGTGGCACCTCTACTAAATTATAGCATATATTAGCTTATTACACAGCCAAGAAGAGAATATGAAGGGTCTACCTAATGCTTGAAATCATTAGGTATATTCATTAGACAAGTTAAGTGAAAAAAATCTAGAATGTTAGGCTTTGAATTCCTAGGAGTTAAGCTAACTTAGTTTGCTCATGCAAAAAAAATTTCTTTCTCAAACAATTTATTTCCTTTTTATTTTTTATTTAGATGAAGGGAACAAATTTTATGTATTTCATGTACCCTCTCCTCCCTCCTTCCTTCAGTCCCACCCATCTTCTTTCATCCTTTCTTACTTTTCTTTTACTTTTTGCAACGAGATACTTTCAACTTACTTTATAATCACAAGCTTAACCCTGTACTAAATAAAAAATCAACAAGTAGTAAATAGAAAAACTATTCTTCACCTGGAGTATAGACAGCAGTTACAAATAATAAATCTCAAAATGTCAATTTCACTCATATACATTTTTTTTGTACTTTGTATATTTACTACCAAAAATCAGGGAAAACATATAATATTTGTCTTTTGGGGACTGACTTATTTCATTAAGCATAATGGTCTCCAATTGCACCTATTTTATTGCAAAAGATAAGATTTCATTCCTTCTTATGGCTGAGTAGTATTCCATCATGTGTATGTACCACAGTTTCTTTATCCAGTCATCAGCTGAAACACATGTGGATTGATCCCACAATATAGTCAAAGGCTTAGCACTCCACAAAATAAAGACTTCAACAAACCAAAAGTAAAATGACCATTGTTCATCAGAAATATAGACAAGGGTTATAAACATTAATCAAATGAAGATATGTCCAACTCCACTCATAAAGTCATTTTAAAATAGTAACAGATCACTAAAACTATAGTATTATGTAATTCTTAAGCTTTGTTTAACAAAGATTTAAAACAGTAAAACAATGTTTTACACTCAGTATTGAATGCAAAGCTGATACATGTAGGCAATTCTTTTTTTTCTGTTTTATGTCTTTTTTTATTTAAAATTTAGCTCCCACATATAAGAGAGAACATGTGGTATTTGTCTTCTGTGTTCAATTTATTTTGCTCAACTTGATTCTGCAGTTGGATCCATTTTGATGCAAATGATAGAATTTCATTCTTTTTTATAGCTGAATAATATTCCATTGTGCATATTCACCATATTTTCTTTATCCATTCATCTGATGATGGACACCTGGGTTTAGTCCATATTCTGGCTATTGTGAAGAGTCCTGCTGTAAACAGGTCTCCTCTGGGTCTCCGGGTCTCCCACGCTGGTGTAGGGGCCCAAGGACTTGGGCCATCTTCTACTGCTTTCCCAGGCCACAGCAGGGAGCTGGATCAAAAGTGGAGCAGCTGGAACTTGAACCAGCACCCATATGGGATGCCGGCGCTTCAGGCCAGAGTGTTAACCCAGTGTGCCACAGTGCTGGCCCCGCTCTGTCTTTTGTTCAAAGATGTTTCTGACAGGATTGACCTAATGTATCATTGTGGTATGATTTACATTTCTGTGACACCTAGTGATGGTGAGCATTTTTTCATATATGTGTTGGCTATTTATATTTCTTCTTTTGAGAACTGTTTATTGAAATTCCTTACCCACTTCTTAACTGGATTTGTTGTTTTTTGTTGTTGCTTTTGATTTTTTTTGAGTTGCTGATATAGTCTAGATACTAATCCTTTGCCAGATAAGTAGCTTGCAAATATTTTTCCTCTTCTGTTGGTTGTCTCTTGATTCTATTGATTGTTTCCTTTGATATTCAGAAGCTTCTGAGCTTGATATAAGCCCATTTGTCTAGTTCTACTTTTGCTGCCTGTACTTCCAGAGTCTTATCCAAGAAGTCATTATCTACAACAATGTTTTGAAGTGTTTCCACTACACTTTCTTCTAGCAATTTTATAATTTCAGGTCTTAAATTTAGGCCTTTGATTCATCTTGGACTGATTTTTGTTTCTGGTAAGAAGTAATGATATAATTTTATTCTTCTACTTGTATGCATTCAGTTTTGCCAGCACCATTTACTGAAGAGATTGTCCTTTCTCCAGTGTATATTCTGGACACTTTATCAAAAAGCAGTTGACTATGTGTACTAGGATTAATTTCTGGGCTCTTTTCATTTCCAAAAAAAATTTTTTAAAGATTTTATTTATTTGTTACATGCAGTGAGAGGGAGAGACAGAGAGAAAGGTCTTCCTTGTGCTAGTTCACGCCAAAAATGGCTGTAATGGCCCGGGCTCGGCCAAGAACCAGGAGCTTCTTTCAGGTATCCCACGTGGGTGCAGGGGCCCAATGACTTGAGCCAACTTATACTGCTTTTCCAGGCCATAGTAGAGAACTGGATTGGAAGAGGCGCAGCCAGGACTAGAAACAGTGCCCATAAGGGATGCCAGCACTGCAGGTAGAGGATTAACCTACCATACCACAGTGTCGCCCCCTCTAAAAAACAGAAAACCCAAGTATGGAAAAAGTTTCAGGTGTACATAATAATAAATGCCTCATGATAGTAAAAAACAAAAACAAAAACAAAAACAAAAAACCTTTTTAAACAGTTTCTTTGATAAGAAAAAGTTATCTTTACTTGTCACAGATAATCAGTCTCATGGAAGAAGAAATCTGTAAATCTTAGAAAAAACTATTTGATTATCATATCTCTGTATAATTCTTGATTAAAAAGAATTATCTAAATAGTGATTGGGCTAACTGAGTTAAGCTGAGTTAAGCCTTATCAGAGTGTCTGTTTGAATCCTGGCAATTCTGCTTTTGATCTAGCTTCTTGCTATGCACTTGGGAAGGCAGCAGAAATAAGGTACTTGCTCTTGGGCCCTTGCTACCCATATGAGATAATAGGATGGAATTCCTGCACCTTGCTTCAGCTTTCTTAAACTGTGCTGTTACAGTCCTTTCTGGAGTGAACAAGGAGATGAAAGATCTCACTCCCTGTGTCTCTCCATCACTGCTGCTACATCTTTCAAACGGATCCTGTAAAATAAAGAATTCAATGAAAACCTTGAGTTGCAGCAAGTTATTATGTCATATTCACATGGGAAAGTGGTATAATGAATTATATTTAGCACCATTCCAGAATTGGAACTAATAGAGGTTTCAGAAATATTACAGATCATACTGTCACCTATATATACATATATTCTTTATGATAAATGTTTAAGTTTTCTATATTGATTTCAAATAATTGATTTAATATTATGATATTATGATTTTGATTATTAAATAACCTGGGAGCTTTTTACTTCATATTTTAGTAACAAATCTTAATATACTTTTTAAAAAGATGTATTTATTTATTTATTTGAAAGGCGGAGTTACAGAGAGGCAGAGGCAGAGAGAGAGAAAGAGAGAGAGAGAGAGATCTTCCATCTGCCAGTTTATTCCCCAAATTGCTGCAATGGCAAAACTGGCAGGATCTGAAGTCAGGAGCCAGGATCTTCTTCCGGGTCTCCCTCACAGACACAGGGACCCCAGGACTTGGGCCATCTTTCACTGCTTTCCCAGGCCATAGCAGGAAGCTGGATTGGAAGTGGAGCAGCTGGGTCTCGAACCAGTGCCCGTATGGGATGCCAGCACTGCAGACAGCAGCTTTACCCGCTATGCCTTGGACCATCTTCTACTGCTTTCCCAGACCACAGCAGAGAGCTGTATTGGAAGAGGAGCAGCCAGAACTAGAACCAGTGCCCATATGGGATGCCGGCACCGCAGGTGGAGGATTAACCTAATGTGCCACAGCACTGGCCCCATGGCTCCGATATTTGATAATTGATTCATTACATGTTTGTTTTTTTTTTTTTTTTTTTTTTTCTCCTGAGGCTATTCCTGAGAGCGTTCAAGATGTTTTATTTTTATCAGGGAGTGAAAATATAAATTTTTATTTTTTACTTTTTTATTTGAAATGCAAAAATGATACAGAGAGAAAGAGAGACAGAGAATCTCACTGGTTCACTCCCCCAAAGCCCACAAAATCCCAGATTGCACCAGGCAGAAGCTGGGAACTTGGAACTCAACCTAAGTCTCCCATGTGGGTGGCGGGGAATCAAGCACTTGAGCCATCACCTGCTGCCTGCAGGGGTGCACACGAGTAGGAGAGTGGATCAGATGGCAGAGCAGATCTCAAAACAGAAATTCTGATATGGGACGTTGGATGTCTTATATAGCATCAAACACTGAGCTAAACGTATTCCCCACTCGGGAGGTTTTGGCAGTCCATGCTCTTATCTAATGAATTTGTGTTTAACTTTTATTTGAACTTTAAAAAAAAGCAACAATAACACTATTGAAATATTTCTCTGTTTTAAATAGCTCTTTTAATTTTAAACAAAATAAAAAGCAATGCTAGTGGTTTTCACAAGCACACATAGTTTAGCCATGTTTTGAGACTGAAGATTTTTACCTTTCTATTTTGTTTATTTCTGCTTGCAGAACTTCAGATGGTGGCAAAGTGGTTGGCACCATAGAAGTCAGTGTTGTGAAGATGGGGGAGATTGAGGATGGGGAAGCCGACCACATCACAACAGATGTGCAGGGACAAAAGGTAGGATCTCAGCCAGCTCACTGCACAAATTAAATTAAAAATGATCAGCTTTGCCAGATGCCTGTACCACTGACACTCTGTGGGGTTTGAAATCTCATTATTCAAAAGCTGAATGAGAAATCAACTCTAGAATTGGAGTACAATATGTGTGTTTCATCTCTTGAACCAGAGGGCCCATATGCATGGAACTATGCAAAACTATGCACCATTCACAAACACCTTCTTCTTTGCTGCCAGCTCCCTTGCTGACACTGCTTCCACCTAGTTGGAACAAAAAGTCTTGATTGTGGTTGCATTCTGCATTCTGCTAATAGCCTGCATGAGATGCACAGAAGAGCTGGGAGGGATATTACCAAAAGTACCTGTTCTCTACTCCCACAGCCATCTTTGGAGAGAGATACAATTTTAATGTGGATTTTATTTTTATGTGAAGAAGGGAATATTTACAAGGACTTTGTGCCTTATGCACTGACAGAGTAAAAGGCAGGAAATCGTGTAGTGCAAGGAGACAGCTCTTAAGGAGAGGAGATGCCAGCTGGAAAGGAAGTAATTCTTCTGAAACCTGAGATGAAGTCTCATCTCACTGCATGCAAATATGTGTCCAGGAGGTTTACTTTCTGTTTGCTTTTCTCGGAGAAAGAAAAAAGCCTCCATATAAATATTAGCCTAAATTCCTTTCATAGGAATGCAATTCCATATTTTATTGAGACAATGAGGTACACAGGACAGACTTAAAAACAGTTGTTGTTAGGAAATTAAGTTCTTTTTTACACTACAATTCCTAACTTTGCATAAATGAGGCAGAAAAAAATTACAGCAGTGCCTCTTAGGACGTTTTCTCTTTGAGTATGTCAGTTTGGGGACTTAGGAAACATCTACATAGGAGATTTTATCTATCTAACACTTAGCAAATCTTTAGTTTTACAGAAATCTAAGACTACATTTAAAAAAAAAAATATCTGTCTTGCCCCAGAATAGGTTATGGTGTTCTCTACTGCCCCCAAACCTTTAGCTCCTCTGTAATCCTCCTTAATCTTCCCTGGGGATCTGTACATCATGAATATGTCCAAGGAGGCTGGAAGTTTAAATCTGGTTACTTGCAAACGTCAGGGTCAAAGTGAAGGTCTGCAGCAGATTCTTTCTAGGTTTGTGCATTCAAGACCCCTATCCTGGTACTACTTTCCTTCATTCTATTCTTGTTTCCTTTAGAGTTCCACACAACACTCAGTCTTTGAAACCATCACATGAATATGTGTTTCAAGATTAAGCCGGGAAGATGTGGGTGCTAAACTAGGGACTGAGAGTAGAAACAGGCAGGTCATCTCTCCTGCAGGGGCCTACCAGGAGATCAGTAGCAAACTCATTTCCCACTTCAAAGGGGAGCTGCTTTCCCTGACAGAGAATCTGTTACCAGCCACCTCTTCATACTACTTATAGCTTCTCCACTACTCAACTCTGCAATACGTCACTATTATGAGGTCGTACACATTGAATCATGCGCTTTTCATAAACTTATGACTTGATACCTAGTAATATGCCCCATCAAAATCCTACATGATATTTCTGGCTTACTAATGTGGGCTTAAAAAGATTTAACTGAGCTATTTTGGAAATAGAAGCTAGTAGTATCAATACACACCATGTATGAGTCATAAGTGCACTAAAATGGTAAGCAAGCTGTTGGCATCAGCATGGCCCTGTGTGTATTCTTAGTGAACTCTGACATTTTGTGAATATTTAGTAAAGTGACTATAAACTCTGCTGGCAATCTCTGAAATAGGCATGATAAAGAACATTTAGTGAGGTCTATTATGCATGATATTTAATAGAGTTATATGGTAATAACTTTATCTCGGTGTTCTTCAAAGTGTGGTCAGAATCATCTTGGGTACTTCTTTAGAACTGCAAATGCAAGGGCCCTTCTGTAGATAGGCTAAATCAAAAGCCACATGAAGTACATTAACACAATCTTTACTAATGGTGACTTGGGTCTTAAATGACCTGACATACATGAAAAATAAGTGAAATAAAGCTTATCCTTAAAATAACATCTCTCTCACTGGTTTGGGGGGAGAAAGAAATAGAACTACTATTAGCACTGAGTAATGTGCCATGAAAGTAGTACATGCTATCTCTTATGTAGATCAAAGCAGATGAAAGCATAATACTTGTATTAGTGAGTTTAACAGCAGGGATTTATTTTCACAGAGTTATGGAGGCTAATTAGTCCCAGGTCAAGGTGCCAATCAATTCAGTTCCTAGGGAATAATTAATTAATATTAATTCATTGAGCAAATATGTGTTGGGTATTTTTGTTTGATATTTATATTAATATAAATTTTGAGAGCATTCTGGATGGTAGGTAGGATTTAAAATAAAATAAAATTGCAGAATGTTAGGTTGAAATTGTCCTAAATCCCTGCTTTCCAGTTTGTATGGAAGGCAGAGTTTGTGAAAGTCATATTGCTGAATCCATTTGGTAAATACAGACTGTCTTTTAGGAAACAAAGTTGACTTTGATTACAGGGAGTGTGGGCTGCCTCTGTATAGAAAAGTGGTGTCTCAGAATAATGGCCCAATCTCTATGAATTATGGGCTTCTTCAATAGAAAGATTCAATCTACACTACTCCTATAAGTTATATTACAGATGATGTTCTTCCTTTGGAAAGGGGTTGGCTCATGGCTATATATCTAGTTATTATGTGGAAGGGTGTCAGGGACAACTCATGAAAGAATTTGCAGAACCTTTGGAAAATATTGGGCTTGATTTGTCGTTAGATAACCATCATACATGCTGGAGAAGAACATTGATATGCTGAATATGTTTATGAAAGATTTATTTTTAATAATAGTGTGAATGGGCTGAAAAGAATAGAGCACATTTGGGGAAAAGAGTAAATAATTTTATATATGTCCAAACATCGTAGCATATTGCTGTGGTCAGTGTTTTGGGAAGTGCATTTCCAAACTAACTGTGAATTAAAAGAAGGGACCACCACTGACTTTCACTTGGTCAGAAAAATGACTTAGAGAACATCAAATTTAGGAGTTGTTTGTAGTCATTCACTCTTCAGTAAAGCGGGGCTTCAGTAAAGAAATTATGAAAGCACATTTTCCTGTCAACACATTTACTTAGTAATGTGATGAATGTTATGATAGAATAGGTAATGAACTATATGCATACAGAAAGTTATATTTTAGTATTTTAAATTGTCTTCCTCCTAAAACGCTGGAGGAGTATGTCCATTCTAGCATTAACAGTTAACCCAGGATCTGTATTTCTGACTGTCTAGGGAAGGAAAGATAGATCATTAGAGCATGATAGAGATCGCTCCAGCAGTCTTTACCCGGCTTTCTGGGGACGGTGGTCTGAGCTGCGGGTGCCTCTTGAGCAGTCATGCAGGACCTACTGATGGCGCCTTTGGTTTTGTTTGCATTTACTTGTTTATATCTGGTATTTTTCCCCTGAAATTGATTCTCCTACTTCTTTCTCCTATTTCATACCCCCTCTTCCATTTAGCTAGAGTGAGAAGAAACAAATGCCCTATAGTCTACCTAGATGAAAATAGACCCCTAACCAGACTCCTGAGGCCAGAAGAGATTTGTTCCCTCTGTTACTGACAGTTTTCTTAGGAAGCTGAGGGAGGGCACCTGGCTCGGGGATGGATTGCCTGAGATATACTCTTCAGCTGTGGCTCATGCACTAGAAACATGCCCATGTGCTCTTCTGTATCTCTTCTCTCTTTCTATCCACAGAAGTGTCAGTTCTGTAAAGGTTATGGGCTTTATCTATTGATCATGGACTCTAGAGATCAACTTATCTCTAAATGACCCTTACACTTATGAGCAAGTGTTTGCATTTTTTTTTTGCTGGATATAAAAATATTTTGCTCTATGTACTTAAATGCTTCAATGTACTTTACCTTTTAGTTAATGTTCCCTTTACTTAAGCGCTAGAAAATAATTTGCTCTCTATTGATCTGAAATCAGCCTACATGAAAGAAATGCCAAATGATACACCTTGGTAAATATGATTTAAGGTACTCACAACATACCTTTTCTTCTGGTTATTTTATTTGAGTAACCTTTAACTAGAACTGTAATATATTAGTCTATCATTATCTGATAAAAATATATTTTATATAGATATAAGTAAATAATCACCAGCTAAACAAGATTTATCATAAAGTTAAGCCTGGAAACAGTTTGACAAAAATGCTTTGTTCAAAACATTTTGAAACCATGTACATATTATCATATTTTGCAAACAAAATAAGTTCATTTCTCATTTTGATTATTTTCAAATATACTTCATTTCTCGTTTCTTTTATTCTTTTCTAGTGTGCACTAGTATGGGAATGTACAGCCCCAGAAAGCGTGAGCAGGAAAGATAACTTACCTTTTTTGAATACAGGTATGTAACTTCATTTTGTAAACTGCTATCATAGTTTCATGTGAACACAAATTATAGTTGCCTCTGAACTCCATATTGAACCTGAGCAGCATTTTTTATATACTTTTTTTGAACACCTAACACATACAATCTGGTAAATGACCAGGAGCCAGCAAAACAGGAGAAGATTGCACATTTCCATGGGGCAGATACTTAAATACCTTAGTTATATAGCACAACAAATTCCTTTTAGCTACTGAAATGAGTATTATCTGAAAAAGGAAAAAAAATTAGAAGACCAGTAATAGAAATGTGAAACTCGTATTTAATTAGACTTCCTAATTGTCTAATTTATAAAATAAAGTTGTTAAGATAATAAGTATATGGATTGAGTAGGAAAAATTCACAGCTGCTTCTGAACATGCCTGGGTTTGTTTGCGTGTATTGTGTTAGTCAAAATACTATATTTGAATTTCAACAAGGTACTAAATAATGTGTTAAGTGTATTTATGAATAAAATTGATATATGATACAGTTAAAATATATGTGCTAATATTCATGTAAATTTATGTAATTAAGTTTCCAGTGCTAAATTATATAACAATTAATAATAGTAAATGTGGACTACAACAGTATTGGGAAATAGAGCTAAGTGCCTTAAATGCCTTGCCTTAGCCAGTTCTCTCACAGGTGCTATAAGGAAGGTAGTGTCATTATGGACGAAAAAATTGTTCAAGGTCACCCCTGCTAGTAAGTAGTAGTGGGGTCTAGAATTTAATGCAATTTTCATTTCAAGACCTTCATTCTTAATTTCTAGGCTCTGCTTTTACCAATCACCGAGTTGGTGTCAAAGCAAATTAAATCTTACTGTATTTTTGCTTTGCCATATTATACATTTAAGCAGTGCACAGATAAAATAATCAGACTGTTGACTGATACAGAACTTCAAAATCATATTAATATGTAACCTCTAAATTATTAGCAGTTTTCTCTTGGGAGAAAGTTAATAATAGAGATTGGAAGCTGGCGCCACGGCTCACTAGGCTAATCCTCCGCCTTGCGGTGCCGGCACACCGGGTTCTAGTCCCGGTCGGGGCGCCAGAGTCTGTCCCGGTTGCCCCTCTTCCAGGCCAGCTCTCTGCTGTGGCCAGGGAGTGCAGTGGAGGATGGCCCCAGTCCTTGGGCCCTGCACCCCATGGGAGACCAGGAGAAGCACCTGGCTCCTACCATCAGATCAGCATGGTACGCCGGCCGCAGCGCGCCGGCTGCAGCGGCCATTGGAGGGTGAACCAACGGCAAAGGAAGACCTTTCTCTCTGTCTCTCTCTCTCACTGTCCACTCTGCCTGTCAAAAAAAAAAAAAAAAAAAGAGATTGGAGAGGCACTTTCTGCTCATACAAAGAAATCAAATGAATTTTAATTGAAAAATATGTAAATAAATCTTAACAATTCTAGTTGTACAGAATGAAGGATTACCCCAAAGAACAGTGACTTCTCAGCCTATCACCCTACTTATATGAGTTTGTTTCATTAAAGATTTAACATTTGGAGTAATGTGCATTAAACAGTATTGGAGGCTGTATACAGATGGCTGGAGCCATGTACCAGGAAAGTACCCAGTAATTTATCAGTGTGATGAAAATACCTAACGTTTTGTCAAAAAGTTCTCATGTTTAGTTTTTTACCTGAAGGCTGCATGAATCTTTAGTCCTTTAATATAGCTTTTTAATTCATTTCATTTACTTAAAGTCAGTGTTCAGAGATAAATGTAGGTGTGATAGTTACCAGGTTCATGCTCAGTATGATTTGAATGACTCAAGCTGTCCCCCAAATCATCTATACTTGTAATTATAAGATCACTTTTTAATGATTGGCTTACATGAAATTTGTGTGATTTTTATACATACAATAAGAAAACTTTTAAGATACTAATTGGTTAAGTATAAATTTCAAAGGGAAAGAAACATTACTGTATAAGTAAGCAAATATATTATGTAAGGAAGAAGAGACAGAGACAACATATGGGGACATAAATCTGTACCTTCTAATACCTGTGCTGTAAAACCTATAAGTCATGGAGGCCATTCTAACTCTTCCATTATGAGCTAACTATTCCTTATGTCTGCATTGTAATAACACTGAAAACTGACATGAAATTGATGGGAACAGTTGTATTCTGCAAATTAAATTATTAATTTAGAATGGGGTGTTTGGTGTTAAGAAACCTTTTGGGATTCTACAACCCCTATCAGAGTACATGAGTTCAAGAACTGGAAATACTCCTGGCTCCAGCTTCCTCCTAATATGTGTGCTGGGAGGTAGCAGGCGATGGCTCAAGTACTTAGGTCCCTGCCATACATGTGAGAGACTAAATTTGAGCTTCCAGTTTCTGGCTTTGGACTGACCCAGCCCTGGCTATTTCAGACATTTGTGTAGTGAACCAGTAAATAAAAGACCTCTTTCTGCATCTTGCTCTCGAATCAAATAAATAAATACATAGTGGAATGAATGATGTTTGGTTATTGCTTTTCTCCTTCCATGAGAATGGAAAATTTGGTGGTTATACTCTCTTTTTCTGATGATAGTATTTCTAAGGTTATTTATTTTCATTTATTTGAAAAGCAGAGTGAGCAGGAGAGACAAACAGAGACCAGAGAGAGAGAGAGAGAGAGAGAGAGAGAGACACACACACACACAAAGAAAGAAAGAAAGAAAGAGGACACACTTCCATCCACTGGGTCATCCCCAAATGCTCACAATAGCCAGGACTGGGGAGGACAAAGCCAGGAGCCAGGAACTCTAACTGGGTTTCCTATAAGCAGGAACCAAGCAATTGTGCCTTCTTCTGCTGCCTCAAACAATACATGAACAGGAAGTTGGATCAAAAGTGGAGTAGTGGAGGCCTGCGCTGTGGCTCACTAGGCTAATCCTCCACCTTGCGGCGCCGGCACACCGGGTTCTAGTCCCGGTCGGGGCGCCAGATTCTGTCCTGGTTGCCCCTCTTCCAGGCCAGCTCTCTGCTGTGGCCGGGGAGTGCAGTGGAGGATGGCCCAAGTGCTTGGGCCCTGCACCCCATGGGAGATCAGGAGAAGCACCTGGCTCCTGCCATCGGATCAGTGCGGTGCGCCAGCCGCAGTGCGCCGGCCGCGGCGGCCATTGGAGGGTGAACCAACTTTCTCTCTGTCTCTCTTTCAAACTGTCCACTCTGCCTATCAAAAAAAAAAAAGTGGAGTAGTGGGGACTTGAACCCTGCTCTCTGACATGGGAAGAGAGTGTCCCAGGCTGATTTAACTTGCTGACCCACAGTGCCTACCCCTCTAGTAATGTTTTTAAATTTCCCACGTCCAGCAATCTGTAGAATAACTCTGAACCAAGGATATCTGCCACAAATATTTCACTTGAAATATCTTGTGTTGGATAAAGATAAGGCTACAACAAAGTCAAATGCTATAAAGCGTAGATTTTTTAAAAAAGGTTTAAAAATACAACTAAGCACTATCTACAAAATGTTTCTGTTCAACAAAGAAAAGCCCCTTGTGCCAACATAGATTATTTGTGACTGGCCAATATGGACCTCTTTGTCTTTTATTGTATTTATCTATTTAAACACAGTGACTTTGGAATTAATTAATAAATCCTCATGTGGCATTTTTTATTAAAAAATCTGTAGGCAAAGGACGCCATTGACAGTCTTCTCAAGACTTTGTATTAATGTATTACATGGAACTTTCTCGTCTTGAGTGAGTTATGAAGTACTTATTGAGTGAGTGGGAGACAATGTCTTATTGCATAGCAGCTCTTTGCTATTCTATTTATATCTCTAGAGGCTTCATTTATAATTCAGGAAATTCACTTATCTATTGTAAGACTAAAAGGAAAAAGCTCTTTGCCCTAAGGGCTTACCCTTTCTTATGGTCTGTTTACCTTGCAAATTGAATGTGTATCTTGGGAGTCTGGGAAATTGAGGGTAGGAAAGAAAGGTTGAGGAGGAGCTTGGAGAGAGAGAGAGCAGTACCTTAACTATGTAGGAAAGCAGACACGCTAGAAGATTCAATGTTAGACATGCAAGGATCTCAGTGAGTTTGACTTTCTAATTTTATAAGTCAGATAATTGTTAAAACCATATACTTAGCTATTTATTTACTTATTCATTTATGCAAAACAATAGTTAAAAAAGCTTAAAACTGTTTGGTGTTGGGGAATCAAGGTGGGAGGAGGTTGATTTTGAATGTAGAGAAGTATGGGTGATGTTGTCTGTCACATGGTTCTGGAATTGGGTGTTCCTGCTAAGGCATAGATCCTGAAGCACCTTGTTTAGCTGTGTAATTACCAGTGGGCTCATGTAGTATTTATATGGGAACATGAGGCAGCCTGTCAAAGCCCAGGTTTGCCCACCAGCAAAGTGAGCTGCAGATAATCCAGCTTCTTTGTACATTTTCTTGTTTTGGTATTAATCACCAAATTAAACTAAGAAGTCATTGACTTCCTTTTAGGTTCACAAATGTTTGACATTGACAGTGATATATAGTTTAGCTTTTGCTGTGTTTTGGTTTTTTGTTCAGAAAATTTCATCTAAGTATTTTAATGTCATATAGAGTCATATATAATTTCTTTGTCACTTCTAGTTGTCTGTCTCTGGAGTTCCCATTTACAGTCAGAAAGTCTGAATGGTCATAAAACTTTTTAAAATTCTGCCAAGAAGGTAATTCTCTCTCGAATTTAAGACCCTTCTCCCTCCCCCGTTATTTTGGTAAAATTGTAATTTGACTGAGGACTCCAGTGCATGGGCTTTTCTATTACCAAACCAAGTCTGAGGAGTTAATGGGTCCTGTCACCAAGTTCCCTTTGTCATCTCATTGTGGGTGAATTTCCCCACATCAGCACGCATCAAATCTGAAGCAGCTTCTCCTTGGCTGAATTCCACACTTATTGAGTCATGAAATTGTCCTTTGTAATCTTTAAAGCAAAGTTGCATGCTGTATATGAATGTGAATGCTGCCCTTCCTAGTCAGGGAGGATACA